GATTCAATGCTTGAGGTTGCCAGATTCCCGGGGCATAACAGCATCTCCTTGCTTAGGGTTAAGGTCTGGGGTTTCAGGGTTTAGGGTTAGAAGGGAATGAAGGAATAAACAAGAAAATGGAAACTACAATAGTATTGGGGATGATAAAGTGACTGCTATAAGGATTCATTCGTGCATTCCTTGCTGACTAGAGGTAAGTTAAACGTTGATGGGACGTAGAAGCCACTTATGACTGGCATCATAACGATACTCGCATGTGTCTTGGGGTAAGTAAGGAGGGTTCTAATTCCAGTTATAAGTAGTGACGAATTGTTATGAATTTCTGAGTATAATGTACTGGATGGGGAGATCTGACGTCACTTGGGAACCTCAGAGCGCTGAAATTCCAAAGGTATAGGGCATAGCGAGTAGTGAAAGCTTCCTCCATCCACAGTATGACCAGGGCCTCATTATGAGCAAGTTCTGTTCTGAGGATGACAGTCCTGCGAGTTAGGACTGCGTGGTTTAGGGTCTGTGTGCTACAGTTAAGTTAAGGGTTAAGGGCTTAGGGTTGAGGGCTTGAAGTTTAGGGCTTAGGGTTTACAGTTCAGGGTTCAAGGCCAGGGCAGGGTGGAAACTTGCTGCACATCTCCTACTACGTCGCGGACGTTTGATTGCCTGCCGAGTCTTTCACGCTGAAGACAGGTCTGTAAAAGATGGCAAAAACAGCTGCCGGTTAATGTAGCAGCGGAGGCCCATCCTGCGCTTCGAATACGCAGTACTGCGCCGCCAGGTTTGGCAGATGGAGCACGAACTGCAGCAGCAGAAAGGCATGCTGAGTGGAGTGGCCGTGAGTGGAGCCCAAGGTAGCTTTGCAGTGGCAAGTGCTTAGGCAGTTTGCGCCTGAATTGCGGGCAGTTAGATTGACGCCTTGTGCTTCTGATGCAGAATCTGGCAACGGTCGAAAGTGGCTTCCTCAGCGAGAGGTTCATCAAGGAGCTTGTACGTCTTCTTGGCAAAAGCTACAGTCGGCCCCGCGTCCAAGCTACATATGCGAGTAGGTAGTATATGAGCCATGGTTTAAACTTCTTAAAGGCGGTTTATAGGGGATTATATAGGGGAGTATTACGGGGGTTATGAGGGGGGATACTAAGAGTTTAGCCTTTAGCTGCTTTGCTGCAAAGCCTGTACACTACGAATGCTGTGTGCGATGTTGTGACTCAAGCGAAGCTTGATGGATCAGGTAGGAATGCCTCTCTCTTTCATTGTATGTGTATATGTAGGGAGCAATAGAGAGCAAGAGAGAGACAGAGAGAGAGAGAGAGAGAGAGAGAGGGAGGGAGGGAGGAAGGGAGGGGTCATGTAGACGATGCCGAGCAACATCCCTTCCATCTTTTTGAAAAGTTCTTTGTGTTGTGCTACGCGCGTTTTGGCTTACACAATCAAGGCCCTTATGTTAAGACCAAGTATATAGGAGGATTGGTGGCATATCTACCTGCATCAGTTCCGCGTCCTTTACTCTGCTAGCGGTGGGCCAGCTAGACGCTTTGCTGGCAAGGACGCAAGTCATGCATGTCTGAAAATGTGGTGATACAAACCCTAAACCCTAGATCTTAAACCTAAACCCTAAACCCTATACCCTAAACCCTATAGCCTAAACCCTATACCCTAAAGCCTGAACCCTAAACCATCAAGTTTGGGTTGAATGCCTTACAGCAATATAGCCCGACATTGGAAAGAACAAAAAGTCTGGGTTGAATGAAGTTGACCCTGAGCCCAGGTCTGAAACACCTTCCCCCACAAAATCTGAGCCCCTATTTCGCTAAAAAGCCACAAGGCCTACTAGCCACCAGTAACTTACAGTTTCTTTCCCAAATCACTAGTAGGTTCAATGGTCTTTTAGCTCTAAACCCTAAGCCCTAAACCATAAGCCTCACACCTTAAACCATAAACCATAATTCCTACGCCCTAAACCCTAAGCCCTCAACCCTAAACCCTATGTTCTATCTACTTAGGGGGGACTATAACATGAAGGATCCCTGGCCCGTACTGGCCTTATGTGAGCTATGGTCTACCCTAAGTAAGCCCTCAACCCTAAATCCTAATATAATCCTAGTATAACCCCAATATACCATAGTAGTTTCCAATTTATTTTCCACTATCCCAATATAACCCCAAGAAGGGCCCTAAATCCAAAACCAAAACCCTAAACCCTAAACCCTGTATACACATCCTCCAGGTGTCGAAGCTCATCTCGGAGAACTGCCAGCTCCTCGTGCTGGGTCTCCTGCCAGGGACGCTGGTGGATCCCTACCATGAGTCCATACGTGGTTTAGGGTTTAGGGGTTTAGGGTCTCGGGGTCTAAGGGTTGAGGGGTTTGGGGGTTTAGAGGGTTCATGGTTCATGATCCAGGGTTTAGGGGTTTAAGGGTTTAGGGTTCAGGGTTCAAGGTTCAGGGTTTGGAGTCCAAGGTTTGAATTTAGGGTTCCAAGGTTATACTGGTACCTGCATCCACCCCGCGACTCCACCATAGGCACCAATAAATCTACAAGTTCTCTTTTCTTCCCTCTTCTTTGGTGCGGGGCATTGGGACTTGTCTAAATTCTGGGTCTGAGGGTTTGGGCCAGGGGTTTGCCAAATGCATAGTCTCTGGTGGTGGTTGAATGATTCAATTCTTCTTCAGAAGGCCTAAAATCAAATGGAGGATATGATCTTACCCGTCCCCTAGGACCGTACTAAAACCTACATACTCAGCCCTAGGCCCGAAACCCTACAAACCTAAGACTTCATGTCAGCTCCCATGCCGACTGAAAATCCCTAAGTAGCCTGTTTGGGGTCTATGGTTTTGAGCAGGCCCATACATTTGGGGGGCTACTATAAGGATCCTTCCTCTCGTTCCTTGCTAAACAGAGGTACAAGCAATGGCCCATAAATCTCGCGGAACGCTGTAACCTTGAACTCTCAAAAGCCTAGCGTCGAGACCCAAAGCCCCAGACCCGAAAAGTGTTAAGGGTTTAGGGTTAACCAACGAAACTTAAGCCCTAAACTAGACCCTAATGCTTCTACAATTAACCCCACATCCCCGTAATAGAAGCTCCTACAAACCTCTTGGGGGGCCTTGGCGTTTCGCCCAGTCAGATACTCTTTTTGCAAATAATTATCCCCAAAATGAGGCTATAATCTTACTCTGTATTTGGGGCTGTGGTATCCGCATGAAAACCCTCAACCCTGAACCCTGAACCCTCAACCCCAAATCCTCTCTTGGCAAACCATTTGCTCTAGTTCCGGCCTGGCGTTTCTGAGCGGAAGCCTCACACTCTGCGTGGAGGAGATCATCCCCAATGGATGCCTGGGGTAGGGCTTAGGGTTGAGGGTTTAGGCTTGAAGGGTGCGGGCTGGCTGGGTGGCTATTAAGGAACAAAAAATCACCAGAACATGGGAAAAAGTAAACGATAGGGCTTAATTACGATAGTAACTTATCAATTTACTGTAAGTCCCTTAACAGCAACCCAGTTTGAATTCAGGGCCTTGAATCTAGGGATTTGGAGCTTAGGATGCCGGGCCCCCTCTCAGAGGACTTTCGGTTTTGCGTCGCACACACCTATAGAGGGTCTTGCGATATGGGTTAAGGGCTGAGGGTTCAGGGCCCTTAACCCTAAACCCCAAACCCCCCAAACCCTGAACCCTAAACCCCCTAAACCCCCTAAACTCCCTAAAACCCTAGAGTTTGGGGGTGGGCATGGAAAGCCCTGAGTATGTGAAGCTCCCACCTGCTCACCTCCTGCTGTCAGGTTCAAGGAGCACAGCATCAGAAGGTGGGGGGGAATCCCCGAACCCTAAACTCTCATCTAAACCTTAAACGCTAAACCCTAAACTCTAATCCCGGAGCCCTAATCTCTAATCCCTAAACACAAAAGCCTAAACTCCAAAAGCTTAAACTCTAAACCCTGAACTCCAAAACCTTAAGCTCTAAACCCTAAACCCAACACTTCTAAGTCTTCGGGTATGTGTTCAGCATGGAATCCCCCTCACCCTCATCGCCTTCAAGTCTGAGATCTAGCTTGCCTAAACTTCTTCTAGGTTCCCCAGTACCTCTCCAACACGAAGGGTACCGTTTTTTGTTCCGAATTTTCCGCTTTAATAAGCAGGCCCCAACATACAAAGGGCAAAAGGGTACTACTGGGGTACTAGTGTTTGACAAGCCAGGTTGCCTGGCAGTTGGGTTTAGGGTTTAGGGTTCTGGGGTTTAGGGGTTCAGAGTTCAGGGGTTTAGGGGTTTGGGGTTTAGGAGTTCAGGGTGTAGGGTTTAGGATTTAGGGAAGGTGTAGGGCGGTTGTTCTTTAATATCACGGCTCATTGATCAAATTAACCCCCCCCCTTCGCAATCATTTCGCCTGGGACCCCCCCTCACGGGGACCCCTCTGCAATCATTTTTTGGTGATTTACCGGGAATTGCCGGGATGTGGGACTAAAAGCTTATCACAGGAGGTCCGGATGCAGCTGTCAAAGTCTAGGGTGTACGTGGACAGGCTCAATCTGCAAGCATCAGCAAACTCCAACAAAAAGCGGAAGCAAGATGACAGCTGAAGACCGCTTTTTTCTGCACTGCCGATCCCATGAGCTCCCATGATTCCCCTGCCATCGTGAAACGTGAGCGATTTGCCAGGCACCTTGACATACCCTGACCATCCCTGACCCCTGAACTATCCTTAGCTGCTTTTTGAACACCTTACTGGCTTCTGTGGCAAGTTGCATGGCACACCACTCTGAAACACCCACATCCTAGATCATCCTAGTCCTACTTTAAATGGGCATGGCCGGTAGGAGCTCGGGCCCATAGGTATGCACATCCTGCAAGAATTTTCTGAATTTCTTCACCCCATTTAGCTCGGTAGGGACGATGGATCGCAGCTGGAGGAAAATTCCAGTGGACAAGTCTGGCTTGTGTTTATTCGCGTTCACCAGATACCATGGCGCCTTTGCTAACATGTCGCTCCAGGCCTCTCCTTGGACTGGGGACTCAGCAGTCAAAAGGCCGTTTTTGTCGACTAAGGCCGCGCCTTTCAGGCGCTCGTACCTCGCCCGCATCACGTTCATATACTCTTTCATGCTGCAGCGGCCACGTTCGGAGTTGCTGAATGAAGCAAAGGTGAATGCCTTTCCATATGGGTCGTCCTGCTTGGCTTTTTTCACCACGGTTCCTGCAATCTGGGCATCTAGGTCAGGGATGACCTTTTTGAGGTCGAGGAGGGCATCGACAACCTGTTCCGAAAAGCAAATAAGATGTTGAATTTAGGGCTTAGGGATGTTTAAGGGCAGGGTTTATAGGTAAGGGGCTTAGCATGACTTAGCATGGCTTAAGGAAAATATAGGAAAATGCCCTAACAACAAGATGTTACGAGCCTTGGGTGTGAACGTCAGCACAAGCCGCCAATCCTCTTGCTTGCAGGTGTAGTTTGAGGAGGGGACTTCGTACAAGATTTGATGCTCTGCTCCGCCAACCTCAAAGGACAGCAAAGGGGAAGCATTGCTGGCATAAAAGACGCCAGCATCACTGCCGGGGATGAGGATGGATCCCTGCACACAGGAGCACGCGCCAGCTGGTAGCACATCATAGTGAGGCTTTGTTGCCCGCATTGCGCGTGTACCCTCCTTGCTTTTCTTGATCACGGCACCTCGAAAGACACCTTGGACAAACACCAGCCGCAGCTTGTCATCAGTGCAGCTCCTTGCACACAGAACTTGATACTGCCGAGTTATCTTGTCTGGCTGCATGACGCAGGACGGCTTGAACGCCTGCGGCACACGAGCCACGGGCCCCATTTCCTCCTCAGGACCCTGGGCTATGGCTTTCACACATGTACCCGAAAAGGTTGTCCATAGTTGCATGCGAGAGCTGCGTGAGCTGTTCAAATCGAATTCCTGGCGCGCCTGGGCCAAACGTCGCTGCAGGAGGTTGTGCTCGTTCTTGATCTCGTCCGTTGATGTTTCCAGCGACTTTCGCGAGACGAAGCCCTCCTCCTCCCGGACCATCCTGACGAAGGCTTGCATTTGAGGGAAGAGCTGCTTTACTCTTGCGATGCAGGAAGCGTCGGTGTCGTTCTTGAGCGCAACCGCAGCTTTGTCTCCACATGCCATCTCCATAATATGGAGCAAGGTCAAAGGCATTGGTGTCTCGGGCTCTTTCTTCTTGAAGACAGGCCTGTCAACAGCTTGCTCGTTGGACTTCTTCCCGCCCTGCTGCTCAGTCGCTGTCTCCTTGGCTTTCAACGTCTTCTCCGTCAAAAGCACGACCTGCTTGTAGACATCTGTCTCAGATTCGACAGCGGCAAGCAAGTCTTCCAGCGGCTGGTCTGATGATGCCATTGGATCGGTCTCGTCAACTTCCATGTCCAACAAGTACTCATCCTGCTCATCCAGCTCGGCATGCGCAGGCGAGGAATCCGGACATGTCCTCACGCGAAAGCCCCAACTATCCCCAACTTAACAGTACACCTCGAACCTCAAATTCACAGATAAGCACAGTAATACCAAATAATACCAACTCAGACCGAACCCAAATTAGCCAAACATAAGCCAACTGGCAGCCACTGACGCCCAGCTCCCTCATCCCACCACGTTTTCAGCATTGCGTACGCTTGCTCAACGCTCAAACGGAGGCTGCACATACTGAAGAACTCAAGGGCTCCATGAAGCGCTTTCCTGGACAATTGGATGCATTCCTCTTGCGACATGCCCTCGAAAGTGCGGACCTCTCGATCCTCGAAGCCTCGATGGAAGTTTTCCAAGTGTTCCCGAACCGTGCCCCAAATCCCATGGCTCAGAGAAGCCGCGCCAGCTGCACCACGCTTCGTTCTGGAGAAGTGATGCTCAGCTGCATCTTCTTGGGCCCACTGGGGTTCAAACGGGGCTTGCAGTGTTGACGGCCACCACGCCACCCGCAAGATTCCATGCACTGCCAGACTGATCAAGTTCCGGCACGTGGGCTTGGCCAATGCCAGTCGGTCCCAGTTTTGACCAGCCTCGCCAGCTGCGTGAGCCACTGTCAACAAGCAGATGAAGTAGCCTGCGACTGGAAAGATCAGGGGATGTGACAGGACCTTAGACAACCCAAGCTAGCCACATGAAGCACCCCCCACATGTCAACCCCTAACATCATATACCAAAATGGGTCTCCTGAGAAGCAATTCACGAAGATTTCCCGGGGTTCGAACAGTCTCGCCGCTGTAAATGAACCGAGAATGAGAGAGCTGGTGAATTGAAAGATTGTGACTCCAAAAGAATCCCATTGGGCAGGTCCACGGGAGCACATCACCTCAGCGGCTTGACGGTCACTTTGGCAATCCTTGCCCACGAAAGAAGCGGCATTGAGGCCGTTGCATCTGAGC